GGGGGGTAAATAGATCTATCAGTGTGTTATTTCTGTCTGGGAATTTCAAATTTGGAGAAAACTGCCTCACAAGCATAACTATTTTATGCATTAGTAGTTAGTAGTTATGAATATTTCATGTTCCTAATTGTACTGAATTTTTATTCTTTGTTGTTACTCGAGTTCTTTAAATATTTTTAGGTTGATCTCTGCACCACAATGTTAGATGTTTACTCTTTTTTTTTTCCCTCAGGGACAACTCCCGAGTTGTGGGAGACATTGTCAGAACCTCTGTGCCCCGGCGTGTATTTTGTGGGTGAACATACTTCTTTGGGAGAACATGGTACCCTCCATGGAGCATACAACTCAGGGATCAGAGCTGGTGACCAGATCCTGAGCCGTTACTGTGAGAAGAAAATGGAAGAAGAAGAAAGGCGTAGAGAGGAAGCTCGGCGAAAGGAAGCGGAAAGAAAGAAAAAAGAAAATGGGGGTGGGGCTAATGCCTCTGAAGAGAGGGCAACAAAAGAAGTTAGTCTTGAGGATGATGATGATGTGGTCACTGAGGAGGAAAGTGATGAGAGAAAAGATGAGTTATAGAACTGGCTATGAGCAGAGTGAGTGGTTGTGAAAGGGTGTTGTATGAGGTACTTCTTTTACAAAGACACATTCCACCAGAGCTGTAACATACTATAACTTGCCTTTTTTTGTCTTTGAATTTCAAATCCTTATTTGTTCGTGTCAGCATAAAGCCAATCACAAATTGAGGTTGCATATCATGATTTTGAAGAACAAAAGCATGCTTGTTGCATTGGTCATGGACAGATATTTGATTTGATTATGATTGTTTTCCTAATTTCTACCATGCCATACGTCTGAATATAATATTATATAAACTGGACATATATTTGTCTTGCGTTGCCATATCATGTGCAGGATGTTTTGTTGCTGCTCAAACTTCAGTTAATTGATTTTGAACATTGATTTAGGAAAATGTGAGGTCAGATCTGAACAAATTTTTGCTTTCATTATGTGGTTGTGAGTGCCTAAGTGAATTGAATTTGCCAGTAGTTCCATCTGTGTATCTTGTACAAATAGTTTTATTTGTATGCTTAAGTATGTCTGGTGACTGACCGTTGTGGGGGTGAAAGATGAGCAGCAGTGACTATCTTGATTGACCCAAAAACAAGACATTCTTCCTGGTTGAAGACAGCAGTAATGAAGCATGGTGAACTTGAAGCTAGCATCTGCGTTTGTTGCCATTTTTTTTTCCAAAAGTTGCCAAAAGTTGCCACAAAAATGGCAAAAGTTGCCATAAAAGTTGCCATTAATTTTCAAGCTTTCAACTCTCTGTGACGAGGTATAGCAATATGTTGATAGAGGTAACTTAATCTAAAACACCAGAATTTCTTGTGCTCTATTTTGAGCGTCCAGAATATCATTTGTAGCCACACAGAGTTTAAAAACATGAAAAATAAAGGCTTCACAACAAAATGAAATCGCAATTAGAAAAGCACGTAAACAAACACATAAATGAACAAATAAGGGCGTGTGTCCACCTATCCGAAGACTGGCCGTATTAACCCTAAACGTGTGTAATTCAAGAAAAAGTACAGGAAATTACATGTAAATTATGGAATCACACCTAAGGGACCTGCCAGTGGCAGTGTTCGGTTTTGGTGGAGACAAGCTCTAACATAACGCATATATACATGTATTTAAATGACACTACGCTATATAAATTTAAAAAATAGAAAAACAACACATTAGATCAATAACAAAAAAATAAAATAAAGAATGAACACTCCAAGAAATAAAAAAAATAGTACGTAATGTACTTATTTTCTTCACATGAAAATAGCAAATCAACGTGGTGTCAACGAATGAGAAAGAGACGAAATGAAAATAAACTTTCAATTTTGTATTCCCAACTTTTTGGGGCGTTTTGCGCTTTTTTTGGTTGTTTTTTTTGAGAAATGCAAAAATCGCAGCCGCGATTCGCGGACCAAAAAATGCCAAAAATCGCAGCCGCGACAAACGCAGATGCTAGTGAAAGGTCAGAAGTACCACAGAGACCAGTGTTTTACTACTTAACATTTTTGTGACTCAGCAAACATTCATGTATCACATTTGTACTTTTTTTTTTCTTTCTTTCTTTTTTTTTTTTTTGTGCAAAGTTATTGCTATATCAGCATAATTGTGAACTGTATCATGATATATGACTCGTGAGATAGGGTGAAAGTCTTCGTACATCAAATTATATAAAGCCCACATTTGCTCTTTCACTTATCCATCAGTCCATATGAATTAAATATTGCTGTGCTTGGAAATATGATGCAGGCCTAGGTTTTCAACATTCAATGCTTTAAGTCCATATCATTAGATTAAAATTCTTTTTTATATTCATGAAGAAAATCTTTGGTGCATGTCGGCCAAACAACCTCTCATGAACTATGGTAAATAGCTTGTCTTAAAACTAGATCTAGTGAAAAAGGAATATATGTTAACTCAGCCATATCCTGCTTATTTTGGTCTGGTTTCCACATTAGATATCATCATCATGAAAGTTAAATCTCTATGAAAATGTTATTAGTCACGGTGTCACTTTTTGCCCTATTTTGTGCCTCTCCGTTGGCGTGACTCATTAGTTCGCTGCAGCTCCTCAGCTGGGGTCAATGGGGTTAATTAATTGGTGCAGAGTCAACTTCTCTGGTTTTGGTAAATAAGTTTGCATTTTTTGTCAGCATTTGAAACAATATAATTTCCTCCCCATCCCCCACAGCAAAGCATTACGCTGATTGTCTGCAAGCACAATGTTTCAAGTATTGAGTTTGTGTCTGAAGAAAGACACCAAAAATTAGGATTTTAACATTTTAATTTGATTAGAGTTTTTTTCTAATAGAACATTCAGTGTTGAACACAGTGGATTTTAGATTTGTCATAGATTTCAAATAATTTTAAAGATATTTAATGTTTTGTGAGGTAGGGTATAAAGATACAATTTTGAGAAAACAGGCTTTGAACGCAGTACACAATGAAGACACCAAAGTGGCAGATAAGGTAAGGGTGCGTAAGTAGTGTGATTTGTTTACAGACATATATATTTTATTCATGTGCACAGCTATTTTTATAGTGTAGGCAAAATTTCAGGGAATATTTTGGTAAAGTGTATAACATGTTGGGTTCAACTTCACTTGAGGTGCAGGGCTGAGAAAGAGGAGACAGACCTGAAGTATCGATTTTAGTAACTTTTTCAAAAGCTATTTTCATTTTTTTTTAAAGAATACCCTACCATAAAAATAATTTCTAATAAATTACTTTAGACACCAAATAAATTAATGTCCCCTAAATTATAGTTTTAAAAAGTTAAAACTATTTTTTTTCCTTTAATGGAAACACGTTTTGATAAAAGAAAATTGACTTTTCACTTTATCAACCTGAAGCTTAAACTTAAATAAAAGATATGGGTGGATTTTTCTACCCTTTCTCTAGGCACACACACATTCATTCTCCAATGGACTTGTTTTTTTTAATTTTAAACATGTGTTGCAGATTAAGTTAAAATTTATTTTGAAAGCACAGTTCTTTAGTCAACTTACAAAACTTACAAACTAAAAGTTTTTTAAATGTAAAGAGTTTCTTGGGTGTAACAGTTACCATGCGTGTTTTACACAGTGTTGCAGCATTCCGGCACAACAACAGGCTTGTATTCCTGAGAAGAAAGATTTACAATGTAATTTTAATAAACATTTGTGTAAATAAATACACTTATTCACGACTGTATACTGATATTCATAGACTAAAAAGTTATATTTGAAGGAATTACAGCACACCAAAACAATATTCAGCACATTGTACTGTCTGAGAGGTGAATGAATGGGTACAAACACAGCTTTCTATCATAGTATCAGTACTGTCATCTATACAGAATCGTCCTTTTGTGAGTAAGCTACTTCCATCTATGTTATGTCGTTCATGTTCCAAAAGATCAGTAATTTTTGTTGTGTGTTGTTTTTGTTTTTTTCAAACATCATCATCATCATCATCATCATTGCCTTTCTCACCCTGGATCAGAATATAGGCCACGAACAAACACTCTCCACTTTTTCCTATCCTGGGCTAGTCGCTTGATGTCACTCCATGTCCTCCCACTTTTCTGTCCATCAATTTCCGTGACTCTTCTCCTGGTTCCCCGTGGTCTTCCCCTTGATCTTTTACCCTGTGGGTTCCTATCTAACACTTTCCTTGTTATGCAGCTGCTTGACTTCCTGAAAGTGTGTCCAATCCATCGCCAACGCTTCTTCCCACCTCATCTCTGACTGGGCTCTGTCTCCTTCTTCTTATTTAATTACTTCTTCCTCAGACACTTGTTCAAGAAAACCTGGATCCTCTTTAAGCACGTCTGAGATGCGTTAAATGTCTCACATCCATACAACAAGACTGACCTCACATTTGAGTTGAATTTGAGTCTTTAATGCTGCAGCTAAAATTCCAGTGCTTGAGTGCCGTGTAGGAGATGTAACATTTTAAATTTTGGCTTCATCATAAAAATGTTAATTAAAAAAAAAACTCTCTTGACTGTAAAAGAAAAGGAACAAAATTGGTTTGCTTTGTAGTTTTAAGATAAATACATACATATATACATACATACAGACATACACACATACATACAGACATACTCACAGACATACACACACACACACACACTCACACACACACACACACACACACACGTCATGATGCGGTGGAATCAGGTGCTCGTCAGTTTTTGGATATAGTGGAGCTATTGGTATCATTTTAAAGCTTATTAATTTGTATTGCGATTGGTGAATAAAATACTTGCATATCATGAATTAAAGTCACAATATTTGTGATTAAAGGAAGTGGGGGTCGCCTGGTTTCAGAGATAAAATTAGTGAGAAAATGGCTCCCAAAGTTTGGCAACTTCCAAAGCTTGAGAGTCCTTGGAAACTGCAGATTTGCATATTGGTGCCTTAAATTTTTAAAAGTACATGCATTAGTACCTCACATTTTTCAGTAAAATCCACACAGAAATGTTTTTTACGTGGAATTTAAAGATGTTGAGTGAAAAAACCAAATTTGATCAAAATAGCCGAACAGACAGAAAAATGCCAGTTTCTTTGATTTCATTATAATTCGACAAACGTCTGATTTCACCACGATGCCTCAAAATCAACGGAATATTTTGAAATCTTTTCATTATTTAAAAATGTCGCTATGCATGTGTTTTGCATAAGTCATAATACCATTCTAAGGGTTAGATGACGGGGTATTCTACTTTCCAATGTATTCCTTTTTGGGTGACTTGTGTCTAATGCATGTACTTTTTTCCAAACATTGAAGTGACTCTTTGATCTGAGATTCATCACATTGTTAATATCATTAAAATCATTGATATCTCTGAACACAGTGAAGGGCAGACTTTTTGCTCAAGGTTTCATTTGTAGAGATGTTTGTGTCTTTGTCATAATTGCTGACTTCTTACACAATGTCATATCATTCAGTGAAGTAAGAAAAGGTACACTCTGATTCACTGAACCTGCTTATCATGACATAACCTATTTACTTCTTTTCATTAAATTCCATTTTCCTGTTGCAATTTGAAATGAAAACATTGATGAGAAAAAATATATTTGTCATGATTGCAATTTTGTTTTCAGTCTTTATATTATATTGTTTTGTTTGCTTTTTTTTTTTTTTGCAGAATTTCCTTCTCTCTTGTAATTCTAATAGTAATAGTATTGCCTCAGAGTCTGCATACCAGCGGCTCTCTGGTATTACTGGCTTGTTTCTGGTCTCTTCTGAGGTGGGTTTTTTTCATTTTGAGTTGTTGCTGTCAAGTTTAAGCTGGTGGTTGGAGGGCGCCACTGGTAGTTCCCTCTTTTTTTTCCTTCTCTTGTTTCTGTATGTCTATCTTGCTTCTTCCTTGCGGTAAATGACTGTCAGTGTGTCAATCTGCTTTTACTCAAACTGTCATGTTTTATAGACAAGACCTTAATTGTTTTCTTTCTTCTCTATCCTTTGTTTTTAAAAAATGGTTCTGGTACACTGGATACATAGACATTGAAATTTGTTGTGTTTGGTAGTTCCCACCCCATTTTCATCAATATAGTCACAATAAAGCTACCTTATTTTTTTTTTTCAAAGTTTTATGAGATATTCCCTCGCTGTCCTCCATTTCTACCAAGTAAAAGACAGCTCAGTGGGAGCTCTCATGGTCTAGAGGTTAAGTGGTCGCCTGGACTCTCATTCAATAGGTCCCGGGTTCGAATCAGGATAGCAGTGGACGCGGACAATATTTTCTTCTCTAAAATTTTCACATTTCACATCATTTCCTGCTCCTAACAATGTTATGTCGTCTGCTTTTGTCTCCACTTTCTGCCCTTGCCCCCCCCCCTCCCAACACCCCCTTTGCCTCCTCCTCTGGGCTCCTGACTCCTGTAGCCTTTCTACTGCTACTCCTTGTCTCCTTTTTCTGGTGTCTTTCAGCCACACCCCTGACCTTATGGAAGGGAAGATCTAAAGCTAGCCTTCTCGGATACCGGCGAAAATCTCGGAGGTCCTATGTGTAAGTTGCACACGTTAGAGATCCCTTGGTGGTCCAAAATCGATAAGAGTAGGCTTCGGTCGCCACCCGGGCAAAATTCAGAATTTCCTACCAGCTAAAGTGTCCCGCGCGCTCTTACTCATACTCATGTGACCTGTGCAGTTGCGAGGGCTGTAAGACGCTTATCGTACAAAACAAATTCTTCACATTACTCAGCATGGCCTGAAATGAATGTGAATTAGACTGAAAGCCCCAGTCTTTTGCACTTCATGCCTGTGCGTAGCTACTGAAAAAGCAGCATTGTTTCTCTCTTTTCTCTCTCTCTCTCTCTCTCTCTCTCTCTCTCTCTCTCTCTCTCTA